TCTTATAATGCTGAAAGTTTCCCCTCGTCCAAAGCTCAGGACAATGTTTTTAATTATGACTTCAAATAATTAAACAACATTCTAAAATCTTAAACACTTAGAAATTAAAATGTCAAAAAGATACGTATTTTTGTGGAGAAAGTTTATTTCCAGCGCATCTTAAATCATATAATATAGTCTTTTGTATTATTTAATCATAAGGGTCATTCATTCTTCTAGAAGATATTTTGATCACCCACTCTCATAACTTAATAACAAACACTGGGAAATCAAAGATGAATAAACTATAATGTCTTAATCCCCTTCATTAAACTCCTTAATCCCCTTCACCTATTTAACCCATCTCTAAGCCCACCTCCTCTCTGGTAACCACCAGTTTGTTTTTGAGTAGATTTTTTCTTTTTTTTTTTTTTTCATTTTTTTTCAGTGTTCCAGAATTCATTGGTTATGCACCACACACAGTGCTCCATGCAATACATGCCCTTCATAATATCCACCGCCATGCTCACTCACCCCTCCACCCCCTTCCCTCTAAAAGCCTCTGTTTGTTTCTTAGAGTCCACAGTCTTTCATGGTTTGTCTCCCCCTCCAATTTAAAAGGGCTTAGCATGCTAAGCAGAGTGGGGCCGAATTCTTTATACACTTTTTAACCACTGCAGGGGGTGGTGGGAAAAGGGAGTTCAGTGGGAGAGAGACATGGTCAGATGTCCATTTCAGAACCAATCTCTGGAGGTTCATTTAGGGATTTCTCTAGGAGAACCTGGACAGAAGACTACAGTATTTCAGGCACAAAAATGATGAGGTTTTAAGATGAATGGCAATGAGGAAAGAGGAGAGGAATCAAATTTGAGTTATGACTTGTGATATGGCAACAATATGATTTGTTGATAAATTCCCTGTAGATAGATTTTTTTAAATGACTTTCTCTGCCTGACCTTGGTTGCATTAATGAGATTTAGAAAACTACTATTTTCACTCCTAAGACCTAAGCAAGGAAGAGTTAAATCTGACAGTTAATTGGGGCCCCTGTACTATAAGTCAGGAAGGTGTTGAGTTAAACTGCAGTGTGGTTTCTGATCTCTTATGGGCTGGGTGATCTACATCTCAGGTACCCATGAGAAGCACCTTCTTGCTTAATCTCACATGCTTGGAAAGGGAACCCACAAGTTATGCTTAGGTTCCTGGTTTTTATTCTAGTCCTTCACTGGGGAAAAATAAAATGTCTTCCCATCCACACTGTTCACCTCAGTCCATAATATTCAAAGTGGTTATTAGCCAGCCTGTAAGTACTAGCCTACTAGTTTTGCTAGATTTGAGCATTCTATCTAGATGAATTTCTAAGGAAATGAAGATCAAGCTCATAAAATAACTTTAAGCATCTCTACTGTTCAGGACCCCTGCTACCTTGTCCCTCCCTTCTCCAGTGAACACTATATAGTTCTTGATACAACAAGAGTTCCCCAAATCGCCTTTCATATCAGAAGCACCAGATCTGATCTCTGTAAGTTTTAAATTAATAGACCTGCACATGGAGGTAAGGAAGGAATGGAGAATGATAGAGCTGAGAAACTCCCAAGATGATTTTGATGTGAGGCCAAATTTGTAAACCCCGATAAAGATGTGATGTACTTCAGTGGACTGAATCTATTGGGTCAAGCTATGCACACTGCCCCTTCCCTCGATGATAGGCAGTAGGAAGAATCATTTCTCTGCTTTAGTTGGCCCTCCTGGTCCCAAATCTGGTTACCCTATTCCATGTTAGTTTGCTATGACTTTGTAACATGCTTTTCTGCTATTTAGAAAACACTTAAGAGTGGAGAGAAATTAAGGCTTATGCAGAGGCTTCTAGTTTGAGAATTTAAAAGGATGGAACTAGCATCACTTGAGATAGAGAATTCAGGAGGAGAAACAAGGGTAAAGGAAAGCAATGAGTTTCATTGAGAAAATGTGTTAGGCTTAGAAAGCCTTTGAGCTTTTGACCAAATGGGAAGTGAAAATTAGGGTTTATTGAATCAAAAAGCCCAGATTTTAATGTTTTTTCTCTCATAATATCATTGCACAAAGGCTTGCATCTTCTTTACAATTTAAATTTTCCCCCACTTCAAAGAAATGGGACATGACATTGAAATTTTATGTGATGGCCTCAAGTAGATAAAAAATATGTTCTGAGTATATAAAAAAAACTAATGGTTTCCAATCAATAATGATCTATAAGAAATATAATAGTAACTTAAAATACATCGCAATCAATATTAATTAATTCAGTTAGTCATCATTTAACAAATATTCAAATGCTCACAAATTTCCAAATTTTGTACTCGATCATCGCAATGAATAAGACAGAGTTCCTGCTGTCAAAGAGCTCACAAACCACAAGGGAAGGCAGACAACTAAATAAAGGAATAACCCAGCAGTGTAATAATTGTGTGCTCAGTGGGCGGTAGTATGGGGTATGAAAAGTGCCCAGGAGGGTTTGCCCTTTAATTTGAAAACTAAAGAAGAAATAACACTTGTTAGGGAAGAGGGGAGCAGCAATTCTAAGCTTAAGGCATGTACAAATGACTTATCAGTAAAAAAGTTATTCTAAATTTGTCAAGAAATTTAAGATACAATTCAAGAAGAATGAAAGATTGAAACCCAAGGTATTGATTGGTAGTCAGCCAACTGAAGAGGCACAAACTTTAACGTGGTTCACTGACCTTCTATGTGAAAATAACCTGGTACACATTACAAATGCTGCTTTGGAGGCCCAAAACCAGATCTGAATCAGCATGTCTGGAGTGGGGAATAGGAATCTGCATTTTTTAGTAGAAGCTCAAAGATGTTCACGTGTTTGAAGACATCTGATCTAAGTGTTCGTTCCTATCAGGGCTATAGGAAAACACTCTAAGAATCCAGGAAAGTGATACAGGAAGTGCCTCCTTATGTCTCTGAATTTTCAGCAATTCACGTCCAATTATGTAAGGAGGGATGCAGTTCTATGCACAAAGGAAAATAATTGTGTATGTATCACATATACCCATAAATAAATACATTGAAACATAGACCAATTTATGTGCCTTGGAGAATAAAATGATGAAACATTGATAAGGTAGGAATTAAAATGTATTTGCAACCTAGTAAGTTAACAGAAAAACAATAATTTGTGTTTCTGAGTCAGCAGTTAATCACTCAAAACTTGAGTCAGTTCTATAGACTTCAGAAAGTTTACATTACTTTTTATGCCAAACTCTTCCAATTTATAGGATCTCAGATCTATAAGAGTCCTCATACTTGGACAGTCCCAACCCATCATATTACAGAGAGAGAAACTGAAGCCTAGTTAAACAATGTGGCAGAAGTCACACACACGCTAACTAGTTTAGTAGCTAAACTAGAACTATATGCAAGTTTCTTGGTTACCATGTCAATGTTCTTTCATAAAGGGTCAGTCCAGAGTGAAAAAGAGCAGGAAGACGGGGATGTAAATCTCATTCTTTCCTGTTACTTACCACTTACTAAGCCATTTTCTAGCCATGTGACCTCAGACGTGATAACCTCTCTATGCTTCAAGTTGCTCCAAAATATTGCCTCCTCCTTATACAGGGCAATAATTTAGCACAGTTCTCAATACATGGAAGAGTTTAATAAATTTATCATTATTATGACTATTGTTGTTATTGTTATTAGTGATGTGTGATAAACACACTCTACACTACCATGGTACCCAAGTACCATTCTATTCCTTTCACTTGGAGTTATCCATAGTTTTTGATGTTTACCTTATATGCTCTCCTATCTTTAATTTACAAGCTACTTTCAAGGGTAAAATTTACAACCCATGATAGCATACTTGCTTAGTTCTTTTTACAGTGCCCTTCTCAGAAGACCATCATCCAAAGAAAAATACTAGATCTTTGGTAAAAGTAACTTAATTGAAAAATGTCCTCTCCAAATACAGTGTGTACGGTAATGTTAATCCACATTTTATTTATTGAGTGTCAAGATTTAGGCACCATGTTAATACTACTGTACTACTCCAGTTTCCGGGTATGTGGCACTTCTGCTTTTGGAGTTGATTTCCACACTGTTGAAATGTAGTTGTTTTTGTATAAGTAATGATATGGTTTTCCCAAGGTCTTACAGTGCCTTTGTGCTAAAAAGCTCATATGTCTCTTAAGTGAGTAAAACCTCTCAGAGACCTGTTCCACATAATCTGAGTCTGTTGTGATGGAATTACCCAGCCAGTCCGGGTAAATATCAAGATTGGGTTGTAGGGGCACCTGGGTGGCTCAGTGGGTAAGCCGCTGCCTTGGGCTCAGGTCATGATCTCAGGGTCCTGGGATCGAGTCCCGCATTGGGCTCTCTGCTCAGCAGGGAGCCTGCTTCCCTCTCTCTCTCTCTCTCTCTGCCTGCCTCTCTGTCTACTTGTGATCTCTCTCTGTCAAATCAATAAATAAAATCTTTAAAAAAAAAAAATTGGGTTGTAGGCGGCAAAAGTGTAACTCTGTTCCACAAGGAATAAAAAAGTTGGCATAAAAAAAGGATCATTTCCAAAGTGAGTCATGACTTGTATTTGTGTCTCCTTAACACTGCTGCAAGGTGCTCGGCATTGCTCAAAGAGAACCAAACTTGGAATTCTTGGGTACCACCTTTCACTCTGAAACAGCTAAAAAGTAAATAAAAGTTGAACTTCTCAAGCATTTCAGCCTGTCCTCTTTGGTCTCATTTTATTTCCTCTATCCTCCTCCTTCCTTAAAGAAAGAAAGGAAAAAAATGGAGAGCTTTTAAATTAGAAAAAATAGTACCTCTTTGCGATTTTTTTTTAAAGACACTTAAAAAGAATACATTAGCCTTGGCATTGGCACTGACAAATGGCTACTTCTAGAAAGACTGAAAAGGCTTTCCTAGAATAATAATTACATCTTGTATACTATTTATTTTCATAATTTTATGGTGTTATTTTCCTGAAAATTCACCTTCTGTTATTCTTTTTTTTAAGCCACTTCTGAATTAGAGGATGGAGGAAAACAAAAGCTTATACTCAACAAGAGGTAATGTTGATAATACATTAACTACTGGAGCTTAATATCTGTTCCTTTGGTGTTACAACACCAGTAGTCTTCTCTTGATAAGGAGTAAAATCAAAAACAGAAGCAAAATATTTGATCAAAAGACAGAGAATTAAAGAGATAAATTTCTAATTGTGAGCGGAAGTATCTAAGGAAAAAAATTTAAAGGCATGATGCAGAAGGAATTTAGATTGAAAAGACAAATTACATTCAGTTCCTTGATGATAAGGAAAGGACAATAAAATAAAGATAGCTCTGCATTATTAACAGGGATTGAAAGAAGCAAGAAATAATCTCAGAGAAAAAACAGCAACATTTTTAAACGGCTTTATATTCCCTTCAACGCTGAATCTGGAGACTAATAACTAATATGGTAAGGAACATGGTTTTTCAGGCATCACATTCCGTTATCTTCAAAGTGAAGGTTCTGGATAGATTAAGGATATCGAATACAATACCCTCATCCTGGCCTCTCTCTCTAGCACCCATGGCAAGCACTGATAACAGATCAAGGAATTTTCTTGCTGAGACAAGATTCAATTCTATGAACCTTCTCCACACAGCCAGGCAGCCACTACCCATCAACCCTTTTATTGCACAAATTGGAATGAACTTGCCCTTCTTAGTTTTGCTATGAAATAACATGCCTTCCAGTTTTAGAGTTCTATATTTATATAAATAATAGGAGTATCTATGAATATAATTTGAAATGTTTAATTTGGAATTTTCTTAAACCATTTTTAAAAAAAATAAAATGCTAGAAAAATCAGTACAAATAGCTACTAAATTAAAATTTCAATACAGTCAAGAATAAACTCTTGGTTAAATCTTATGATCAGCATTATCACTTCAAACTGATAGAAGTCCTAGCTGCACAGTTTGTGCAGCTGATCCTGTATCATTTGTAGTAAAGATTACAGAATCATTTGCTTCTAATTCATCTTACTTATGTTCAGCTAAAACTTTTCAAGTAACAGAACATTACGCAAATCACAACTGGTTGGATAAACAAATGTATTGGATAATACCTATCATATAAGTTCATTTATTACTTATAAAATGTAATCATAAACCATGGCAAACCACAAGCCCCTTGAGTAAACTCTAGTGAACAGCTCAAGCATTCATGGAACTAAGCATATGCCACATTAGGGACCAGATGGTTTTATTGAGTCATTTTCCTGTTTTCCATAAAGCTGAATTACTACATTTCTAAAAATCTTTTCTATTTCTCAATTAGAGCATTGCCCATTGCCTTGGTGCTTGATCTTGAAAACATATTGAAAACAATGGTACTATGCCTTCTCAATAAAGGAAATTTCAATAACTAAAAACATACCTTTGTTGAATCCTTTGGTAAGTTTCTTTTCCAAAGTTTCTTCATTTCGTGACTTGGTTGCCTACTAAGGATTGCCCATTCAAATCTGCCTTGCCATGTCAGAGTGCTGGATGCTATTTTTTCTTGCTCACCTCACCGTATAGGAATCAGGACAAAAAAAAAGACTATTTAGATTTAGTTCTGTGATTGGATCTGGGCAGCATGTGCCATTTTGTGGCAATGTGTATTTCCTAAAGAGGTACTACATTGTGAGCGTCCAGTGAAGAATTAAGTATCCTCCTGGAGGTCCAAGTGTGAACCAAAAATTGTAGGTTGCTTTGGGAGGGGATATAATTATAAGCAGAATCCATTAATTTTAAGTGAAGAAGACTTCTAGGTAAACCTGGCTCAAGGGATACTCTACCACAATCTGTCAGTTATATTCCATTGAGAGAGAAATGTGAATGTTTTTAAACAGTGAGTACTGGAAAAACTCAAGAATACATAACAGAGGGATATCAGAAAAAGTTCTTAAACTTATTGGCCCCAAAGCCTTATTTCACTTGAGTTCTTAAAGGAAGTAATTGTCACCCATAGAGTAGGTGGGTGACAAGAAACTAGTGATTGTTCAGCTGAGAGCCCTGCTACTTCAGAAGTCTGACATCCTTATTCTCCAGAGTTCCCTTGCAAAGTAGCTGCTAAGAGTTTTATACCATCTCCATCTTCCAAAAATTACCAGAGTATTGTCATGTGTATTTTTTCCCCAAGAATACTAAGTTGCAGGCATTCTTTTTTTCATAATGATGTTGATTTATCTGTGGTTGTGTAAAAAAGTCACTATCAGAGAGTTACTACTACTGAGCCAGCTAATTGCAATTACAGAAACTCTGATTAAACACATTTTCCTTGTGGAATCTACATGTAAGTATTGCTAAGCTATTTGGTTTGTTAAATACTGAGCTTTGACATACAACCTCCTTAGCATTTGTGTTACATAATTGTTTTGAAACTGTTTTAAGAAAAAATAATTTAAAATGTAAATTGATATATCCAGTGTATTTTGGGGAGGCTTAGGAGGCAGAGTCAACACAAAGGAGCAAGAGACTTCCAGACTTTGAAATCAAATCATTCAAGAAGTGACCCTCTCAGAAAAAATGTTTGCCAAATGGAGGGTGACTGGTATGAGATCAGAGTACCAGATTGTAGCTGCTTATCTGAGCATCTTTGCCCTCAATTGTTCCTCAAAATAGCAATGTTTACAACTGGCTGTTCATTTGTTATTTTTTTTTTAATGGGGAACAAAGTGCTAGGAAACTTCTCCAACTTTTCCCCCAGCTTCTACCCATTCCTGTCTCTTGACAAAGAATTTCAAGCATGTGTCGATACTCCTTCCTTCATCTAGAAAATAAATCAGGTGAGATGGTGTGTAATTCAGTAGAAATACTGGAAGAACAATTCTTCAGTATTTTTTAATAGGAGATCATAGATTTTATGTTTGCAAAAAAAAGCACCAGATATTTTAAATATAATAATTGGGACCAGCGAAAGTCAAGGAGTACCAAAGCAAGCCAGAAAAGTTAAAATAATGCCTTCCTGTAACTACCTTGAATTGTTAAATTTAAAAGTTATAAAGTCATTTTTTAGGTCATTTCTTTATTGCTTTGAAATTAATATATGTCTGCTATTTCCTCTTTATTTTTAATTTTTTATGTATTAGCTGCTGTGTTAGTTCTAATGAGTGTTTTTGATATGAAATCTATCCTAATTCATTTCCATGTTTAAGTAATTCAGTTTCACAAACATATTTCCAAACTAGCTATTCTACTTATGCTAATGACAGCACAAATTGATATATCAGGGAAAAGAGAAATATAGTAAATTGGGTTGGATGGTTTATGTTAAAATCCAAATAAGAATCCTATTATCCAACTGGATTTGTATTTAACTGCATTTGAGAAGTTTTCTAGGCAGAGGAGTAAGACTTAAAGCATTATTTCTGAATTTAATGCTTTTGTGAACTTACGTCACACATTAAAATCATCTTAATGCACCTTTTTGTCAATTCTTCACAATAGTGTTACAAAAGGAAGGGAGGAGAGGATACATTTAAAAAGCAAATGAAAAAGAACTCAATGGGAGCCTATTAGGCTACCTGTTGATGAGCATGTAAGAGAGTCATTAATATGCGGCTCATTGACATGATAGGCCATAATGACTCCTCCAGGGACGGTTCAGTCTATTGTGTCAGAGACTAGTTAGGGATTCATTAACGGGAAGACTCATGACTTCTTAATATGCAAATTATTAATGCAACGCACTGAGGCATCCCTCACAAATGTCCACATTTTGCATTACATGTCTTTTTTGCCACCCTTCACCCGCACCTTTTGTGAACTGTCTTCTTTTTCCCATCCTCTGTTGCAGATCTCTTCACAAAAGATTCCATACTCCTGCGGAATCTACCACTTTACATTCAAAGACCCTTCAGCCCACATTTCTGGGATTTAATGCAGGTTCACATATACAAACACCTTGAACATTTTGAATAAATCAGTAAAAATTCAGCATAAAATCTGACTTAATATATTTCTCCAATGTCAAATCAGTTTTTGGCTAAAGGCAGGGCAACATGAACAAAGTGGTTGTTTTTAAGAAATGAGACTCTGAAACATGAGTAGTATCATTTATACTGAAGGTGGGAGGGGAAAGAGAAAAAGAGAGTTGAGAAAAGCCCAACAGAGAAGGCATGAGGAAAAAAAAAAGTTTAATTAAACGAAGTAGGAAGAGTAACTATTCATACCAATGTAATACATTAAATGAAGAAATGAATTTAAGCCACTCAATGTCTGGCATACAGCAAGCAATCAGTAATTAGTAGCTGTTATTATTATATTGGCATTTTGAACTTTGCACAAAGATGAAGTTAATATACTCATTTCCTATTGAAAGAAATAAGAAAAATGTTATTGAGCGAAAGTTGTTCCATTTTTAACTTAGAATACTGTAAAGAGGGGATCAAACACATTCTTTATTTCTATAGCAGAATTAGCTACAGCATTCATGGAGAGGTACTCCGGTATCCTTTGAAGCTTATCCACATTTCATGTATAGAAACTACATTTTAAATATACCCTTTCATGTGGGACTTTATATACTACCTATATTCATTTTCTTGCTACTCTATTATTCTAACCTTGCCTAAAACACAATACCTTCATCGCTAAGTTTCAGGAGAAACAGTCTCTATTTCTAATTTCCATTAGCCCTCAACTCTGTAGTAGATCTACAAGTCTATTTATCATAAAATCCACATCTCCATGCAAAATCAGTAATGTTTTTGAAAGCTAACAACTTTAACAAATAATATATATGCCATAAAACTCATCCACTTTAAGTGTACAATACAATAATTTTTAGTATATTTAGTGTATTTTCAGAATCATGCAGCCATCACCAAAATGTAATCTTAAAACATTTCTAGTACCCCAAAAAGAAACCTCATGTCCCTTAGAATCACTCTTCATTTCTCACCCCCGGCCTTAGAGACACTAATCTTCCTGTCCCTATATATTTGCCTAATCTGGACATTTCGTACAAGTGGAATTATGCAATATGTGTCCTTTCATGTCTGGCTTCTTCCACAGAGCATAACGTTTTGAGGCTCGTCAATGTTGAGGCATGTATCAGTACTTTCTTTTTTATTGTTTAATAGTATTCCATTATATATATATAACACACTTTGCTTATTAATTCACCAGTTGGGCATTTGGATTATTCCACCTTTTCCTGTTTGTGGATAGTACTTCTGTAAACATTTACATTTGTGTGGACCTTGGGTAGAAACCTAGGTGTGAAATTGCTGGGCTATGGTAATTCCATATTTCACATAACGAGAAATTGTCATATTATTTTCCTATAAAGTGGCTGCATTATTTTATAATCCCACCATTATTGCATGAGGGTTTTAATTTCTTCAAGTTCTCACCAACGTTTGCTATTACCTCTTATTGAACATAATTATTCTAGTGGATGTGAAGTGATACCTCATTGTGGTTTTGATTTGCATATTCCTAATGATGTTGAGTATTGTTTTGTGTGCTTATAGGTCATTAAAATAGCTTTTTTAGAGAAACATCTATTCAGATGCCTATTAGCTTATTTTAAAATTGAGTTCTCTTTTTATTATTGAGTTGTAAGAATTCTTCTGGATATAAGTCGCTTAATGATATATGATTCGTAAATATTTTCTCCACTATGTGGATTGTCTCTCTTTTTTTTTTAACACTTTATTTATTTATTTGAGATAGAGAGAAGGAGGGAGAGAGAGAGAGGGCACAGCAGGGGGAGGAGCAGTGGGAGAGGGATAAGCAGAACCCCCCGCTGAGTGGGAGCCTGATTCAGAGCTGGATCACAGGACCCCAAGATCATGACCTGAGCTGAAGTCAGATGCTTAACCGACTGAGCCATCTAGGTGCCCCCTATATAGACTTTGTTTGATTAAATCTCTTTAAATAGGAGACAATATTTTTAACAAAAATAATCTTTATTAATATAATTATCACAAGCACCTAATTATACTTCACAATCTTCTAATGTTAATTTCAAATACTAAATGCTAGAAAATGTCCAATGCTTATTGGTCCTTCCCAGGTTCTAAAGTGAAGTAGATATAAGCAGATTCAGAAATGCTTCAAACGAACACGTAGATTCGAGGAAAGAAGTCCACCTGATTTAGGAAGCTCACAGTACAAACATTATCCTATTTTTCTCTGGAGCCTACCGCTGGACGAGATAGAGTAATTAGGGAGGAGATCATCTGTGCCGAGATTACTATACCAGTGGAAGGCCTTTAGATCCCTGATCAAATAGAGCGAAGTTTATTCCAGGAAATCCCAAGTAGATAAAGTGAGAAGGGCTCAATAAGATAAAACTTTGGTTGGAGATCAAAACAAGAGCAATAGGGTACTTGGGAAGGACTAGTTGAGACCCAGATATGAACCGAAAGGCAAGGAGACTTTTGGCTGAAGACAATGGGCCA